GGGGGGGGGGAGTGGAGGCGCTACCAGGGGAGCAGAAACACGGGGGTATGAGCGGAGGCAGCTAGGGAGCGCTGCTACGCACTCACCCTCACACACTGTCATTGTTTACTTACATGCATGCTGCTGCTTTTGAGCGGCATCGCCTAAACTCACAACACTCAGTAAAAGGGACAGAAAAGAAAGGATCATGACATCCGTTCAAAGTTGTTCGGGGAAAATGTAGATGTTTCACTGTAACTGAAAAAGCCAATGGTTCCACAGTGCGAAATAGCCTGACATTATTTAAAAGGCATTTGTAGAAAATCCACGTTTCACGGAAAGATAAGCACAGTTGGAAGTAATAACAATGATCAAAGCTCCCTTCCATTTGTCCCGATAAGCCATACCAGGAACATGCAAAGTCATTTAAATAATAGCCTCCTTGTGCTTTCCCTGCCATGACATGTCAAAATGTATGCTGTAAAAGAGTTCTAGAATAATTGATTCATAAAAGGCAAAACTTGGACACAAACAATGGACACAAAGACAGATGTATCTGCACCACAGCTAAAGCCAAACAAAATGTCTTAACTGATTGAAACAAAGCGAAGCTCCTGATATGACCAACCGTCCCAGGAGATTACACAGTGGGACCCAGACGCAGATGGATTGAGAGGAGGCAGCAGGAAAAGTTCAATGATTTATTGACTCTCTTACAACCTGAGAGTCCAAGGGGGGGCAGGTAGCAGGAAGCAGGGGGGCAGGTAGCAGGTGAATACAAAACTCAGGGAAAAGTGAACACTACAAAACAAAGCCACAAGGAAAAGCAGGCAGTGACTCGAAGCACAAGGTACAAAGACCAACTAATGAAACAGGGGAAACAAGCGTGAACAAACAAACAAAAGGGTGCCAACGAGGGACAGGTGAAATTAAGCAGGTAGGGGCAGACAATCACAACGGTCAGGAAAACACACAAAGGCAGGATTAAAACAAGATATGACACATGAGGTGCAGGAAACACTAAGCATGTATGACACAAGCCTAAACCCAGAAAACTAAATCCTCTGAATACAAGAGTGAAACAAAGAGAGACTAAGAAACACAGGCAACCCTAAAAATCACAATGCCATAGTCTTTAAAGGCACAACTCAGTTCAGTCCTGACAAAACGTCCGAGGACATCTGGACACAGAGCCAGACTGTGACCATGACTCTATACTCAGTGTAGTTGAGAGGCAGACGGCACTGGATTAAAAAAAAAGACACAGACACCACATTTTCATTAATATTGGTTTCATTTAGTTATTCAGGGGAAAAAAACACATCACATTTTCACCATTCATTCAACTGTTTTATGTACACATATAACAGGCTTATTTTAATACTTTTAAAATATTTGTACAAAATACACTGTTCTCCCTTTATAACATGTGTTTATCTGAAGAGGAATTTCAACTGCAAAGGGCCAGCAGATGTGCGTTGATAATTTGCGGGCTTATTGTGGGGTTGTTGCTATTATTGCATGCTGAAACATCATTATTGCATAAGTCATTCCCTTGCTTCGGGGTGGAGGAGTCGCCGTTACTGTAACTGGCATTACCTCACCAATTCAGCCGATGTTTTTCTGGGAAGGTTTCACTGAAAATGATAATAAATATGATTATCAAGTTAGATGAGAGACAGAACTGTTTGGTGGTTTACACTTAAGTCCGAGTCTCCTCACTCTTGGCAAAAAAAAACCATGCAGTGCTGCAGAGTTTCATAAACCTGAGGAGAGTCAGTAACTGGTGGAAACAAACACTCATCAAAGTTCAGAGGTTACAGCAACGCTGCTCTCTTAATGTTATTACTGTGGGACATATATAAAATGAGTGGGGAGAATATATTGGCAAAGGTTCCTTGAAATGGAACAGTGGTTCTATACAAGAGGAAAGAGGAGACAACCCATATCAGGCCAGAGAACAGCAACAATGTTTCCACACTACAGTCTTTAGTTTAATTACAGGCAGTGATTTTCTCCTTTTTTTAAAACAAGTGGGCCTCTGCCTTCCCTGACCTGTAACACTGGGGTAATTCAATTGGCAATACAACCCGTCATCTCAGTCACTCACGCACACCCTGACAAAAGCACAAACACGCACATACGCACGAAACAAACACACACACCTCAGTCATTCGATTCAGTTACACAGCAAGGTTTTTGTATGACAAGACATAATTAGAAAACAGAGTCAAACAGTTGAGAACTTTCCTTGTAGTTCATAGATCAACACATTTGACAGAGAAAAAAGATGTCATCGGAATAATTGCTCATCTGTTTTAAAACAGTATAGGTTTTGAGATATATATATATATATATATAAAAAAAAAACATATCTAAACAATGATTTATTTTTGTTTGTTTTTCAAAAAGAGAATTTTATAAAAGTGATGACTGGCACTGTTTGGGAGCCTGTGATCACAGGAACACCCATGAGGCTACATAACCAGGTATTTAGTTTTGGAAAATACAAAATTTGTTGAGGTTGGTGGTCACCCGGTAGCACAAAAGTGACTGTTGAGGCTACCGTCGCTGTGACTACAACTTATACTTCACATGCACTGGTTTTGGCAAGAGTGAGTGCTGATGAATATGAATGCCGATGAGAGCGGTTGCCTTTGGGAGGCGTACAACAACACAACACAACTGGTTAACAACAATAAATCCTGTACCTGCGACCGATTCTGGGGTGCTGACCGGTAAGATTCACAGCAGGCAGTTTCTCAGAGGAATGCATATAAATAGGTTTTAAACTACCGGGCGCAGCTATTTCCAAAGTGAGACGGAGGTAACTCACAAAACAGAATAACTACATTATTAGGCAGCCAACAGTGCAACACAACCAGTAACACACTATCCATTTCACAATCGTAACTTGAGACAAGACTGGTTAAAATGTTAATATATCAGTTAAAAGCTAAAAGATGTCCTTGTTTAGGAGCTGTGCTAACACGTAGTTTCTGCTTTGTGATGGGTGAAAAGATAGTTTGGCTTCACTGCCTTTTTCTCATGCAGTTTGAGGGTGTGTTGAATGGATGGTTGAATTAGTCAACTACTGGACGTCGGGAACAAATTTTGGCACCCCTTAAGAGTAGCAAAATACACTGTTTTCCACTAATATGAACCTGCAACAGAATAACTAAATGCACCATGGATGTGTGTGTCTGTTAGCCAAGGTTGGACTACTAACTGGGCATAGTGGGCAACTGTCCAACGGCCCCAGGTGGCTCTAGGTTCAGCATGTGGCAATTAGTTTGTGGCAATTGAATCTAATTACAAAATGTGTTTATTAATCCAATATGCACTCTATATTCTATATACACTCATTGGTCACTTCATGATGTACATCTGAGACAGAGTTGTTATTAGATATATAAATATGAATAAAATTAACTTGACCTGTACACTCTAATGCAATCATATACAACTGTTCTGCCATAAAGTCTACTTTTATGATGCCAGTAATATTCGGTTTTCTTCTTTTTACACCGTTAAAGGTGCTAATTAAGTTATATATTTATAACTGAGGTGATACTGATGGGACTGTTCTGGACTGCATTATATTCAACCCTTTCTAATATTCTGTCCATCTCATGTACTGCTGTACTGTAAATAAGAAGAACAAAAACGTAAGAAACACCTCTCAATATCGTCCAGAACACCACCTTTAACTTAACTACACATTTCCCACAATGCCTGTGAAAAACAGAACATTATAAACATAAAGGCTGAATTTGTGGCAGAGCTGAATTGCAACAGAATGTACCGGTGCACCTAATAAAGTGGCCACTGAGTGTATATTGCTAGCACACTGTTATTTCAGTTTACATTGTGGTTACACAATGCATTTTACTGAATGTATTTGTGCTTATGCACAATTCACAATTCACAGATTGCGGGAGTCAACAGGGGCCAACAGCAGGCAGCCCTGATATCGAATGAAACGGGTTCTGAAGTTGGACGTTATTATCGAACGTCTTTGTTCAGATGCAGATCAAGATGGAGTTCAACTAAATAGCCACCCAGTGTATTTTGTCTTACATAAAAGAGAAGCTGCAACTTGACACCCATAGAGATACAAAAAAGGCATCTATGGGTTTTTCTGACTCTCCAAAAAAAGAAGAAGCTATTCCTTCAACCCAGGTACTGGTAACACAGGAGCCTTATGTCCAACCATAACAGAACAAGGCTTCAAATGACATGTGGAAACTTGATCCTAAACATCAAAGGTGAGGGTTAAAATTGAAGGGATGAAATTGAAAGATAACATTGATAGCATCAAGCTGCTCTCGGCTGTGCTTGGTCCCGACAATCCCTTCTTCTGTGCCCTCAATCTTCACAGCCTTCCTGAGGAGGTTAAGGACAAAGAAACAACAAAGACATGGGGGCAACACCACCCAAAGAGGGAAAAGTACAGTCCTTCCTTCCTTCTGGAGTGAAATACAATGGAACATCTCAACATGTCAACCATTATAATAACCAAATACAAATCAAACGGATAAAATAAGCTTTTGAACGTGTGCTGCGATGCTTGTTCATCGATAGACGTGGAGGCGATTAAAGTGCGTGTTGGTCACTGTCAGAACTGTCCAGTGAAAACGTTGGCTTGTTCTCTCGTCACATCACAGACAGGAGACCCACGTAGATGTCCGGTATGATTATGTCTTAATTCGTATCACTCCTTTCCTCCACAACTGTTCCTCTATTTTTCATGCTGGTCTGAGGTCTGTTCTCCTGATTTGGAGTGATACATCTTGAGACACTGCAAAAAAAAAGTCCATCTACACAGCTCGTCCAGTCTGGTACGGACAATTAAAACTCTTATTTTCCTACAACTGGACAAATACGCCAGTCAGGTGACACAGCATGCTGCTCCCTGAAAAGTCTTTAAAAAAGTGAAGCATGGATACTTTGCTTTGGAAATAAGTAAAACGATCTCACATTGATGCCTTTTTTATCTTGTTTTGAGGAAAAATAAAGCTTTAAAACTCAATACTAGACACGGGGCATTGCCAAGAGGAAAGTTTTTCCAGGAAAGAAAAATCTGCTGGTTCTAGGCATCGTAGAAACACTACACAGGGCTAGATGGAGTAGGTGGAGCTCTCGGACTGCTGGCGAATGTAGCACTGAAAACTCTTGTCTCCAATCGGATGCTCCCTGAGGAAACAAAGAGAAAGATGGTGTTTGTGTGTTGGCGGGAGGTTCAAGAGTGGTTTTTAGAGCTAAAAATAGAACATGAATAAAAAACATTTTCTGGGCAGATTATAAGGGGCTAAGCAGAGCTGGTGGCCAATATTATGACGCAGATGTCATGTTATTTGAACTGCTAAAAGTGCTTCATTTAATCTCCAACATACTTTGTGCAATTGTGGACTGTACAACTGCAACACCTGCTGGCCCAAAGGGGAAGTTGCTCGGTATTGAACTATATTTTACACATAACATTTTTCCAGCAGTTCTCAGTCTCAATTACATTGAATATACAATAACTGTAGTTTGTAACAAAACATAATCTGAGCTACAAGCATAAATAAACAACAAACCACTTACTGGCTGCCTATCTTTGTCTTCTTGAACTTGTCACGTTTGTACTTGGTGTGCTGCTGCTCCAAGGTCTGCACGGCTGAAACAATCAGCTTCAGGGTTTTGTAGGTCTCCTGGGGGTCATCGATGACAAAGCTAGAGTACTCCTCCTGTTCGGGCCCGTCGTACACAGATTTACTGCCGCAGGCCTCTGCAGGCAAAGACAGACCAGCAGCAGAGTGAGAGACAGCACAAAAGGGACAAGGTGGGAAAAAAAGAAACATGGAAAATGTGCTCACAAACATTTAAAACACTCTTGTCAGCGTCTGACCTTGCATCTTGATCAGTTTGGTCATGTATGTGCTGAACAGGGAATAAATCCTCTCGGTCTCTCTGTCTCCATCTACGTCCAGCTGGATGTTTGCTGGGAGGCCGCTGAGGACAGACGCATATAAGAGGATGAGAGAGTGTACAAAAAGGAAAAGGAACCTGACGCTGGGTAGATTTTTGACAACTTCACGTACCCAGTGCAGGGCGTACACCCAGGGGCTGTGTCTGCTGAGAGCTTGCAGCAGAGCCAGTGGCTGTTGAGGTAGGCTGAAGGATGGTAGGTGCTTAGGCGTTTGCGGTTGCACTGGCTGACTTTGGTCAAGATGTCGATCCAGTCGCGAGCCTCGACGCAGTTGTTGGCCTGGATGTAGAGCGCCCGCTCCGGCTGAATAACCTGGAACATCTGGAGGAGGGAAGATAGGGACAGCGAGTGAGGGAAGAATCTTGTTGGAAACACTTTTTTGGAGTGATTTGGGTCAAATGCTCAAAGCTCTAGAAAGTTCATGGCTGTGTGGGGTCCTTACATTTTTCATCTTGAAAGACTCCTCCTCCAGCCGCTCTACAGCCAGAATGTTCTCTATAGGAATGCTGCAGAGAGCGCTCTCGCCTGGACATGAAAGGAAACAAATCAGACATGAGAGAGGACAAAAAACAGCACAATAAAACAAGAACTACATTTTTTTTTTGTCTGCATACTGACTAATTTGACCATGCATGGAAACCTGTTATGTAGTATGTCACTTAGAAACAGCTTACGTGTACGTGTTGGCCCGAGATTGTTTGGATGCAGCACAAATGTATCGTGTGCTCAGTAACTTAATCTCCACCACATGTGTTGAATGCACATTGTGTGCAGACTAACTGCACATTCAGCAGATTCTCTCCCTCCTGCTTGCTTCTTACAAAAGCACACACAGCGACAGAAACAGACGAGGAAACAATGCAACTGCAGGGAGATCCTGAGAGACCTTTGACCTTACCTTTCGTTTTGTGGTAGGTAAACTCGTGATTGGTGAGGCGAAACCATCTCTTCTTGAAGTTCTTCATTCCAAACCGGTTTCTCCCTTGTGCCCTCTTTATCATAAATCTGAGGAAAAATGGAAACACCACTGAAAGCGTTGACAGATGAGCTCATGTTTCACTGAATTCTTTTTAATTTTTCACAATATTTGTCATGTATCTGGCACAATGCATCCCTTTCATATGTATGCAGTGCTAAATGTAAAAGAGTGTAAATGAATGACTTTGCATAAAACCATTAGTAACTAGCATTTCATTGTGGTTAAAGGAATCCTGTGCAGTCATCATTCTATCATCATTCCGTTTACATGCTTGCAGTTCCTTGTATTTATCGCTGCTGTTCATGTAAAAAGCTTCAGGACAGCGCTCATAGATTTAACAGTCTATGAGCATGAAAAGAAGATGGGTCAACAGATCAAAGGTACCCCTATTATCTAAATTGTTACTACATTGTGAATAACTCCCCACCTGACTTTTTGCCAAATCATAACACAATATTTTAGAGTGATTTCCTTCCAAACAGTCAGTGGCTTCCATCATGTGTCAATACATTATGAAAATCAGCTTGCAGAAACTTGAAACTTGAGAATCCATCACACTGAACAACTCATGTCATTATTTTTAAATCAACGATATTGATCAGTTGTTATACAAAAGGACATTTATTGATTGTTGTTAAAAGAATTATTGGCAAAAATATCAAGAATTCTCTTTGTTTTTTGGACTGCTGGTTGGACAAAACAATACTTTTGAAGTCATCACATTGATAAATCGAGAAAATGATCAGCAGATTAATCAATAATGAAAATAATTGTTATTTGCAGCCCTACAAAAAATTCACAATAAACTCTTGACAAGGATGTTTATATTTTCTTACTTTTTAAATTCTGGGTTGGAATTTCTGACAGTATCCAAACACTCATGAATGCAGCGTTTCTGAGATCGCAACTGATTTACCAAAAAATCAATGAATACATGCAGAGATCCACTATGGTGGATTATCAATCTCAAGGAAGTGTCCGTGCAAGTACACTGTAATAAAATGAAGGGAACCACTGGATACCTGTAACTTAAAATCAATCTAAAAAATGATGGTATGCTTTGGAAAATGTCTGACAGTGATGTGAGGTGCAGCCAACACTATTTGTTGTTAATGGGCTAAAACATGTAAAACCACCAGCATGGTCGTTTAAGGGAGAGTAAACACCAGGATGTCTTTGTTTATAGAGTTTGAAGGCCAGCGCATACATGAAATCTGAAGCACACGGGTTCTAAACACCAAAGTCACAACTCTCCCACAGGAAGACTTGTACTCTTTTGACACTACTGCGCCAAGAACGTGCTGGTTTCACATCTGCCATAACGCCGGGAGCTGTGCGGGAAACTCTAACGTGTGTGGTGGTGATATGGTCACATTCTGGACAAAGAGTGTAAAGGGTCAAGATGCGGGCAGATATGAGATCCCAGAAATGTTTGTACAGTAACCAACCCTTGCTGTCACTGTCACACCATACAGCATGTCTGGCATGGCCAGGATTGAGAAGGGCTATCAGCGCTAGTGAGGGCTTACAGGTGTAAAGGTTAACACTTTACTTTATACCATTACAGTCCGTGTGTGCACCCAGTCTACTGTCATAGAAATGCAGAAAGACTCAAATCCATCACACAGTGTCAGACAGTAACAGATAGGTTGCTTATGTGTGGGCCAGATATAAAGTAAAGTGCAGCAGCATCTACCACAGCGCATGATGTTGGTGGGAGAGAATATGGCCGGCTTGGTTCGGGGGGGGGTTGCAGTGCACATACAGGGGGTCACAAGGGCAATGCCTTTATATAGAGAAGCTCTTACCTGCCCTTCCTGCCTTTTGACCCCTTCCCATCAACCCTCTTTATAGTGAGTTTTACACTCCTACGCCCGGTAGCAGAAACAAAAGAGGGTGGGGATGTTGGTGAGCGAGGCGCTGGCACAACTACCGTCAACTGGAAACTGTCCTCGCCTTTACAGCCCCATTAGAAATATCATCAAAACAACGGCCCATGTGTTGGTAGAGAGGGCTCAGTGTACAGCCTCGGGTACATCTGTGCTGTCACTGTTCACTGTGGTAATGAGTCAGACCGTGAGGGCTGAAACATGTAAAGGTATAATCTACCTTAGTGACAATTTAAAGGACGAATGTGACAATTTTTGGAAATATTTTTTGGCAGAGAATTGGATGAGAAGATTGATACAACTCTTGTGTATGTATGATAAATATGAAGCTACAGCGAACAGCAGCTTGTCCAATGGCAACACAAATCCTGCTTTTCAAAAATTGAAAATTCACCTGAAAGGAGGTTATGTGCCAGACTATTTCTTCTTGCTTTCGGCAACTGGCGGAGACTCCAGTAGGTTATTTGTTTCGGGCCAGTCAAGAAATAGTATCTCGTAAAACAGAGAGTAACTTTTTTTTACAGTCTGGTACGGATTAAACAAGCAATACATAATGTGTGTAATTAGTGTCATTAGTTACCCTGGCACAGAGCCAGGCTAGCTGTCAACCCCCTGCTTCCAGTTATGTGCAACAGCTTCATATCAACATACAGACATGTGAGTGGTATCAATCTTCTCATCCAACTCTCCGGCAGAAAGTGAATAATTCCCAAAATGTCGAAACTATTCCTTTAAGTTAGTCTGGACTGTTGAGCCTTAATAGTTAACCCAACAGCTAGAAACAATTGCCAATAAGGTGGTAAAAAGACAAACAGTGAAGCTGCTTAATTGGCAGTGAAAAGGTTACTGCCACAGAACATGAAACAGTTGGGATTAAAAAATCTCAAATTAGCGTTCCATACATTCTCTAAATGAATCAAATATGACATATTTAGGACTTTTTAGCAGTGGTATTGAGAGAGCTGTTTGTTGACCTTTTTTTCTTTCCATGATTATCAGTTTAACAATAAGCTGGCTCCTTACCCCTCTTTGAGCATGATCGGTGTTTCAATACTCCTCTGATCCCATTTGCCTGAGGTGGAGATCAAGTCCAGGAACTGTGAAGGGAAGTAAAGGATGTCATATTTCAACATATTTTTTTGTGGTGGTAACTTGAGACAGCCAAAGAACTCCAACCATGAAAGGCATGCTTTGACATCCCCTCCACTTTTTCATTTGTTTTCAAATGTCTCCTCTCTTTCATTACTCATTTATCTGAGTTAATCTTCGGACATACAAGACAAAGAGAATATCTGATCCTGCGTCTACCAACTGGAGATTTATAGCATGTAACACAAAAAGAAGCGCAACACTCACATTCTTCACAGCGTCCGCATATTTCTGCTCATTGAAGTAGTCGTAAAATGCAGCCATGTAAGACTCTTTGAAATTGGCCTTGAAAGGAATAAAAGTATGGAAAGAAAGAGTGACAGAGAGGAGAAGATTAGATCGTTCTTACACTGAAATACAAATGGACGGTCACAGGAATGAAAATAGAAAAATACACTTTACTCAGAGAAACTCACAGATTTAGACTTGGCGAGACTTCCCAGGGTCTGGATCGTCTTGGAGATGAGGGTGAGGGTTCGAGAGGTGGCGGGATCCTAGGGAGACAAAAATACATGAAATCCAATCTTGAAAAGCTATCACACATGACCACATCATAAACACACTGGTTGGACCAGAAAAAAACTAAGAAATGTAGTGTCTTCAAAGTAAAGAATAAACTTTGAACTTTATGCCAACTGGCATGAGAAGTCCTTAATGTGGCAAAAAAAAAAAGAAGGAAATTTGACCATAAAAAAAATCAGGACAACTAAACAAACTCTTTCACAAACTCTTTCAAGCTTTCATAAATGAAATCAAAAACATTTTACGCTACATATTTTCAGCAGCAGTTATTATCAGAGGTACATGTGCATGTGTTTATATGTTGGTTGAATGTCTGTTTGTTTTGCCAATCAGACTCACTGGATGGTGCGGCCGTAGATGGAACAAGTTGGGGGAGAGGATGGCTGGAGCGAAGAAACGCAGGAAAATAAAACTGCTCACTGCTGTGTATCGGACATCTTGGTCAACTAGAGAGCAGAAAGGGAAAAAAAGTATGATAGTGATGATTTATCCCACTATACTTGCTTGAATTATATCTAATTATTTCTATAATTTCACATATACGGTCAGTCTGGAGTAAGAAAAGCATATTTGTTCAATGTGCTGTCTCAATTCTTTAGAAAGTTCCAAAATTGAAAATCGAAACAGCTTGTTCCTCTTGTGACTGCAGTGCCCTGTGGCAGCAGACAGGAGGCAGCACAGTATGTGACACTGGGTGAACATACTCTTTACTCCACACATGACCACAATGAGTGTGTGGGAGGCTTAAATGGTTTCAAGTTTGACACAAATAGCAGAGCACAAGGAGAAGAAAGTGTCCTTGGACACCTTGCACATCCCGTTCTTTATTGTATATTTCCTGTTGTTTAATAGCAGCTTGCTTTGTTTCCTCCATCACTTGTACGGCGTTCAGAGGGTGAGTTACCTTGGAAACGGGTGGCAGCGGACTCTCTCAAAGAGAAGAAGATATCACACATGACGGTGGGACAGCGAACGCCGGAGGTGGTGATAACATTGAAGATACGGTCCACATACTGACGAAGATTTTCCTGGAGAGGGCAGGCAGGGCAGATACATGTCAGATAACACTGACCACACACACACACGCACACACACACACACACACACACACACACACACACACACACACACACAAACACAAACACACTCATGTTCTTACCCTGTTCGTATCCAGGTTCTCCGATTCTTTGAGCTTGACCGGGTCGATTTCACAGGATTTGTGTTCTGTGCAGATCTGTGAAGATTTACAAAGGTATTCAAATAACCATTGATATCTGATTTAGCAAAAAATATTCTGAGGGGTGCTACAGAGAGAGACATGAATGAAATCAAGAAATGAAAAGACAAACCAACACGGTAGTATCGCAGTGCCATACCTCATCTATGATGGGTTTGAGTGTCACTTGCAGATAGTGCATTCCTGCCAGCTTCATGGTCTCGTCAATGCACTTGGAAGTCAGCGAGTTTCCACGGAAAATGGTGTTAGGATCCCTGCGCAGAGAGACAGGGTGTGCTTTTTTGCTTACAAATCAGAACCGCTGCCTAATAAACAAAACTAGTTATTTAATATTCATCATAAATTACATTACTGCCTGTATAGTCACAGTCAAATCAAAAATGCTAAGCTATTTGATTTTCACAAACAACCTGATGACCTCATTTCCACAATCACTGTAATTGATACGATTCAAGAATAATTCTGCACCTGATTTAGAAGTGGAATTAATTCCAACTCTCAAAAAATACAACAGTCAGCTGGCTTGTGTTGAAGAAATGTACTAATTTTAGTACTGAGAATGATTTGCTACAGTTTATATCTGCTAATACGACAAAGTTCAAAGGAAATTCTCCAACATCCGATTCGTCTTCCTGCGACGAGACACTCACTGTGTGCGGTTGACTTCGGCGTGAGCGATGGTGCTGATGAAAGGCACAATCTTGCCGTAGTGAAGAAACAAGCGTACCAGGGGAATGGCGGCTTCTTGTTTCTCCCGACACACCTCCCCAAGGGTGTGAGCTGGGGACGCCGACACAGGCTGAACAGAGAGGTGTGCGGAGTCAACATGCGGCATTCAAACAGTGGTGTGTTATAAGCGGCAATAAGCACAAGATGCCGCAGGACACCAAATATGTATGAGCAGAGCAGAGGCACATTCACATACGCTCACCGCTACATTAGCAGACTGCAGCAGTAGATCTCTGAGGGGAGTGTAGTGTTCAGAGGGGAAGACGTGGTCCTCAGTGTAAACGATGTTCAGACGCAGAGAGCCGAGCTCTTCTACCTTCACTGACTTCCCCCCGTTCTCCCTGGGCTGGAGAAAGTACCTGAGGAAGGAAAAAGATCAGAACTTGGATCAGATCGAGATCAAACTTGAAGGGATGATGGGCAACAATTGTCTCAACATTTTCAAAAATAGTGATAAAATAAAGCTTCTTTATTACTACAAAATATTCTGTTGTTTGGCCTTATTACCAAAAAGACAATAATTCTACTATGCTGTTTACGTGACTGATGAAAATTTATATTCCACTAATATTCCCATTTACATGTAGCTGTGTATAACATGAAAACGCCGACATGATGTCCTCCTACCGCTACGCACTTTAAATAACTTAAAGCCTCTGTACACCTGCATAGGTGTTTTTTAGTTATTCTGGCTGATTAGACCTCTACTCAGGTTGACGGATGGTTGGATCTTTGATGGGATTTTATTAGGTCACAAATCGACTTATAAGAATGATAAAGGTGTAATTTGTTCCACCTTAACAGGTTCAACAAAGCCAACAGGAGATGTCACTCATTGAGTCTGGACACACCCACAGTACAGAGGCTTTACATTTTGTCTTTAAATTATGTTTAAAAGTAGATGTCTTTCTCCCTCCGACCAGAATTGTGGACTTTTCTTTCGGGCCTGCATCTCCAGTCCAGCCTTGCAAACTGTTGGCTAGTGGATTTGTGTACAACGCACAGCACAGGCCTTAAAAGAGGCAAGAGGCTGTGTGTCTCCAACCGCAGTAAAAACCCCAATCAAGACGCATTTTGCGAATGTGCTGTGTACATGTCCAATAAATGTGCCCAAAACCCTAAAAATAACCGCATATCCAACACGTCTTGATTGAAACATGCTACATTCGGAATAAGAAATTTCACACGACTCTGCCGTGTCCCTCAGCTCTACAGAGCTTTTTAGCATCTCTTAGCGTATTGTTTTGGTTTTACAGCCCGCAACTTTATTGTATTAGTTAACTCTCACTTCGGCCAGATATTTCCTTCAGGAGTTGGTGGAGACAAAAAATGAGCTAAAAAAGAGAGTAAATATTGGAGTTACATTCCTCAGTCGGCCACAATCAGGACTCTAAATAAATGCTGATGTTGCTTGAAAATGTAGTTACTAAATTCATTCTGATTACATGTAAGGAGGTGATTATTCCACTCTGTATTGGACTACACTGAAAACCCAATTTTTATTCTCTTTGTTCATATTTCCAAAGGAGCGCTCCCATCATTCATGAAGTCAAAGAAATGAAATGCAGAAACAGGGGTCAGCAATGTAGGAATGAATGCCTTCATGCTCAGAGAAATCCACCGTAGTCAATAAGGACTTTAACTGTTGTCAATGTTGATACTTGTTGCTATGGCTCTGTCGTTGCTGTGGCAACACATACTCAGAATGTCAACTGACAATTATGATGAAATCAAACCCACCTGGGTCCAGCAGGGCACAGCACAGTACGTGGTCAGTGGAAAAAAAAACAATCTAAAAAAGACAGATTGAAAGAGTGTGTGTGTGAAAGGAGATTATGTTGCGTGTGAGTGACGTTCCTCTCACCATGCGTCATGGACACCAGCCTGACCCAACGCCCGCAGAGGAACTCTCACCCCTCCCAGGAACTCATCCCCGAACTTCAGGTTGCTGGCGTTCCACAGATCCACCCTGACCACAAACCACAATGCACAGTTCAACCTCGAGGAGACGCTTTAAGTTCAGCACTGGTACGAGCACAGAATACTCGACACGGGCTCACCTCAGTGCCAGCTTGTCAACATCCTCTTCTTCGACATCAAACTGACGCTTTGTGTAGCTTAATGGCCGCGTCACCTAGAAATGGAGGCAGAGTGAACATTTAGCATAAACCATGTGGAAGTCGGTGTTTCCTCCTGGTGAGCTGAAGGGTCATCTACATCCAGAAAAACCGGCTGGTGGAAGCGGACACAGAACATTGAGACTCAAACAATTAGTTGATTAATCAATCGAAACTAAATCTGTCTACAACAATTTTTATAATCGTCTATTCGTTTCCGTCATGGTTTCAGCTTTCAGATTTTATGTGTTTCTTTGTCAAAGATGATGTTAAATTTAACATTTTTTTAATGTTGGCTTAATACAATAAACAGATTGTTTTTATATGTCAACGATGTCACTATTTTCCGACATTTATAGACAAAACAATTTAACCACAAGATAATTGGCAGAATTATAAATCATGAAAATAATTGTAAGTTGCAGTCCTAATTGAGACATCAGGTGCTTTACTATTACATTGCAAAGCATAAGATGCTCTTTTGCAGTGTGAAAAAACTGATTTTTCATTTTTTTGTTGAAATGAGTCGTCTTGATTTTAATCAGGCCAAAATAACCTAAAACCAACTTTAAGCTCACTATCTGGCAGATTTGGATCAAAATGGTATATATCAGAGATCAGAATGTGACAGGGCCCATGTAAGTTTGAAGCAATGAGAAACTAAAATCCTGCCCCCCCCCCCCCCAAAATAAAGGACAATCACATGACAGAGACATGATAAATGGACCGTGTTTGCGTGAGGATGGGGGCCTCAGAAGGGGGGCTGCATACAGAAAACACCACAGGGCATGAGTCCTCTTCATGTGGTGGTCGGGAATAAATGAGACGGTCTTGTCGGATAGAAATCAATGGGCCAGATTGTTTGGTGATGGTTTGTCCGAATCAATCATACTCTTGTCCTGCTGTCTTCCTAGTGCTGCAGCGGGGAGGCCACAGGGAGGAGCGACACAAAAATGTCAGAGCAGAGCGGCTGGGGAGCGAGGGTTAACGGGGGCAGTGTGAAAGGAAGTTTGTGTGTATGAAAATTATATATAAATATATATAATCATGAATAGAAATAAATGTGAACCATGAGAAGTTTTTGAAAAAAGATTCAGAGAAAAAAAAATACTTCAAACGTGTTTCCAGTCGCTTTTGCAACACACCAATCTCAGAAATTACAGACGTAATGGTATGAAAAGGACTTCTTATATAAATATAAATATCTATAAATATTAACTCATGACGGATATGTGAACTGAGATTTTTTTTGCAAATTTTTCTGAACTTTTTGTTTTACATAAAAACTTGGTATGGTACAAATATAATATGAAACAAATATATATATATA